GAATTCATACTACGGAACACACTACAACTAATACGTACGTAGTAACACAAGTGCGAACTTATTCTCAATAATCCGAAGATTTTCATAAAAAGAAATTGGCATCGTAAATTTATTAATATATCATAAATTATAAAAATAGAAAATAAAAATAGATATATAATCTTCAAATTTCTGAAAGAATATATATCATTCTTAATCTTTTCATATTCAACCTTGATATAATGATATATCTCATTCATTTCTCAATCTACGACAACATGTACTAATAGTTGTATATATCAAACTCTTCGTGTAAAGGAGACATCAGTTTTGATGGTAGGCTCAAGATTGGAAAGTGCCTTCCGATCGTTGATATTCCTCCTCGCATCTCTTGAAGTGTTGCTCTATCATGCTGCAAGACTCGCTAGCGTGTTTCTTGTAATCATCTGCATTTCTAGCTGGGACATGCACGAAGAGGAAGGCTTGTGGCGCAACTGTCCTTGCATTCTCAGTGTCGGAAAAATATCAAAAGAAAGATTGGCGTAGCCGCATGCTCAAAGGCATGAAGAACGATAATCCACACCGTAAACACTACACAGCACTCTTTTAGGGTCGATTCAGCGGTGGGAACGATTTGCGATGGCGCGACCTTTCCGAAGGGACACGAGCTCCAGGAGATTTGTGGGTTTCGGGCTCTGCATCCCCGCCTGGGATCTGCTGCTTCAGGCTCGCAAGCTCCCGTTCCAGTGCCTGAAACAAACCAATGGATTTGTACAGCCCAGTAGGATGCCATGGGAAAGCTTCCATTCCCAAGCAATTCATGCACACTCACCGCACATTTGCATGCTCATAATACGCAAAATGCCTGGGTCCTATCATCCGGTCTTCAGGTAACGATCAACATACAGACATACCGGTGAGTCTGACGTCACGACAAGACAGATTTGAGAGCTGCAGCGGATCTGACAACAAAGCTATACTGACTTAGACACCTCAACATGTGGAATACCTTTGGGTTTGAGGGAGCGCTTGTAACCAACAGATTGCAGCCATAGCTGTTGCAAATGCCTTGGCTGCGATCTCCCGGAGCTACAGTACCTTAAACACTCCCAGCACCCGTACCTCCGTGCCCATCGAAACCCGTCATCTTTCCAGACACAGGCAGAGGGTGAAGCAGGAACCAAACGATCCTCCTATATCAGGTTAGACAGATATTGGAGGGTTCAAGGAAAACGGCTACAACCGGCATCCTTAGCGTCCTTGACATGCATGCTTTTGCGATGCTCAGCCAGGCATGTCCGCTGCCCGCTACCTGCACCTTCTGCTCCGCGGCAGACGGCTCCATGCGTGCTTCTGATGCCTGGCTGAAAAAAAGCAGGATGGCAATGCAGTCGGCAAGGCAATCTACAGAGCATGCAGTGCTGGATCACATGCCAACACTCCTTGCGTCTGAACTATGTCGGATGTGTATGCCTTTTTAAAGATATCCTGTTCTGGCTCAGCCGAGGCGGTAACGCAACTGAGGCCAGAGCCCGCGTTGCTTCATTGTAATCCCGCATCAGCAGCAAGTGCGCCGCATACACCTGTTCCGCTTGCTAGCATGAAGGATAGTACAGGTTTTCAGTTCACGCCATGACAAGAACAGTGTTGCGCTATCCGTCATCATCTGTGAAAGTGGTTCGCGTTGAGGTGCACCATCCTCGTTCCAAGCTTGCATGCTGTGGGATGTGCTCTGGCCGTAACGCCAAGAGACACCCATGGCGGGCCCTGCTGCTGTTGTTGTTGTTGCTGCTGCTGCTGGTGTTGGTGGTGTTGGTGCTGTTGCTGTTGGTGTTGGTGCCGATGCTGTTGCTGTTGCTGTGCTGCTGCTGCTGTTGTTGTTGTTGCTGCTGCTGCTGTTGGTGTTGGTGTTGGTGTTGGTGTTGTTGTTGTTGCTGTTGTTGTTGTCGCGCGGGGTGGTGCAATTCCTCTGCTGGCATGCGCTGAAACTCGAGTTTTGGCACTTTCGTCACCGGACGTTGAACTTTGCTTTTGCTTTCGCATCGGTTTTTGCAGTGCTTTCTAGCAAAAAAGTGATCCCGCCGGCCGGCTGCAGTGTGCAAACACATGTTCGGCTCTGCATTTCGCCTCGTTTTTTTTCGGTCTTTTCCTGTGTGTCGAATTTCGCATCGGTTTTTGCAGTGTTTTTGCCGACTCTCGACTTTCTGCACATGCCGGCTTCGACTTGCATTTGTCTTTCAGCTCTGTGCGGGGCTTGGGGGGATAGGGGGGTGATGATGTCCATGCGAACGCGGCTTGTGTCTTCTGTTTCTCCTTGTCGTTTCCTATGTGTCGCATTTCGCATTGGCTTTTACGGTGTTTTTGCCGATGCTCGACTGTGTACATGCCAGCTTATACTTGCAATTTGTCTTTCAGCTCTGTGCGGGGGTGCCGTAAATGCGAATGCGGCTTGTGTCTTCTGTTTCTTTGGTTGCGTTACTTATCAAACGCTACCAGCTGCTCTGTCAACCCGTGCTTGCCGTTTCTTGTTGCTTCACTTTGGAAACGTCCACCATGAAACAACCTCGCATTTTTGAAGCTTTCCAGACAAACACCTCCAAAATCAGCCTGAAAATCACCGTAAAGCAAACACAAAAAACATGCTATTTGTGACACTTCCGCAAAAACCAGGCCACAAACACAAGACAAAGAACTATGGAAATTTGAAACTCCGATACATCGTCTTGTTGACGAATACCACACAAAACTCAAGGATTTGACATTTCCAGTCCCTGGCACGCATTCCTGCTTCGGTGAAATATACGACACTTTTTAAGCTTCCCGCTGAAATCAGGCTTCCTGTCACCGTCAACTCTCGATAGTCGGCCTGACACGTGTGAACGCACTGTGAACAGTATGCTTGGTGGACGGATAGAACCGCATACATCCGCAGGCGGCGGGAGTCCGGGTCCTGGTTTTTCTTGGCCAGCTGCACGCTTGCTCCAGTCTTTCTTTCCACCTGCCAGAAGAGTGCACAGCCATTAAAAAAAAGCATTCAGGAAGGCTACCTCGTTGATATTCTCGCCCCGACGACCAATCAGAGCTCCACATCGTGCACTTGGCAAGCTGCACCTCGCACCAAAGCATTCGATGTACAAGTCATTGGAGCGACGAAGGTCTTGAGGATTCGTTGAGGCTTTCGGGAGGTCTTCGACTCCTTTTAGTGCGACTTCAGAGAATCATCGCACCAAAGAGAATGCGAGTCAGTGAGGGGAGCAGACGCAGGCTTCGAAGATCAGAAGACGTGCTGGCGACAGTGACAAGGGCACGGGAGGGCTTCTTAGCCTTTTCTGAAGATAAAAGTGCCGCAATAAGCGCTGGACGAAATGCAGTACTCTTCATTCAGGTACTCTGCTGGAACCTGGCGAACAGGGCATCCTTTCATCATTCCACTCATGCACAGAATGTTGTGTAGTTTTGAGATCCATGCAGATTCGGCCAAACCGCTGAACCTGGGCATACGATAACTCAACTTCTACTCATGAGACGATGCAGATTCTTCGTGCGTGTGTTGTGACTCTGAGCCTTGTGCCACTTAATGTCTGCCAGGACCGCACTTCTTGAAGCCTGGCCGGACCAATTGACCCCGGCGCTTGTCGCAGCTGTTGGCTGTCAGAGTCTTGGACTCCGGAAGAAAACAGGACAAACTCAAAGCGCTCTGCAAGCACGATCTTGATTTGGTGCTGTTTGGGACGACGCCTCCACTTGACTCGGAGCACCCGAGAAGTAGGCACGATCATCGCCAGAAGCTCCTCATTTTGTCAACTAGAATGTAAGTAAGCGCTTTCTGTTGCTCAAGAGGCCGAGTTAAGGATGCTCTCTCCCACGACTCCATTTTACGGGAGATCCATGCTGTGCAATAGGTTACAGCACTGCCTCGACACACCGTTAGCACATCAGCATTGTCGGGCGAAAGCATCTGCATCTGCTGCCGTCCCTTCCACGAGCGCTTGTGGTTGCAGGATCGTCAGATGCGTCTGGGTGTCTGCAAAGGTATTTTCAGAATCCGTGCATGCAGCTTGTGTATGTCATTATCTGGCCCTCAGTGCCGCCTGCCTGCATTCCGTACAGTAACGTGATCATTTTTACGGCATTCCCTGGCAGATGGGCTGGGAGGGCGGAGGGTTCGAGACTGGTAATTCGAATCCCAAGAAACAGTCAAATCATGTGTATAATTTATGGCAGCCTTGCAACTGCACCGAGACTTCTCACCAGGAGCGATGTAGGAGTTCGCTTGCTTGTGTCTTCTCTGTTAGGTTACGATTGGGCGCATGTCACAAGTTCAAAAGAGTCTCACATGCTAAGGCTGGGGCGGATCCGACCAGACTCACCCTTAGCACCTCGACCTCGCGTCATTTTCCACTCACCGCCTGCGACACCCTGACACATTATTGTCATGGCACCTTTGTGGCCAAGTCTCTCACCGCGGGGGTTGCTGCCATCTGGCGGCCTTGGAGTGGAAGCATCTCGCACGACAAGCAGAACTGAACTGACCATCAGGAACTTGCAGAATGCATAACATACCTGGGGCACCTGCGCCCTTTGTGCCTGTGACGGTTGCGTGCCTGTTGTCGGCTTTTCTGGTGCTTCTCACATCGCTCCGTGACTTTTTTCTGCTCCTCTCTGTGGGACACCCTCTGCTCGTCGATCGCTTTGCGGTTGACCTTCAGACAGTTTACATGGAAGGATGCGCGAAAACAGCATTCCAATCTTCAAAGAGTCGCGTTAGCATGGAGGTGCTGCATTTAGCTTCACATTTCCCACTCGGACTTGCTTTTGCACTCGTTGTCCTGAGGCCTTCTGTTCTGCACGCATCTACGCTTTGACTTGATGACGCTGCAATGCCTGAACCGGTTGTTTGTCTCACGGCGTTCCGAATCGGATGACAATGACCATCAGCTACACCAGGTGATGTGAGCCACAGAGGTAGTTAGTCCTTTTCGCCAGCTTCCGACGGTCCGTTTCGCATCCTTAAAGCGAAGGGTTCGTTGGTTGGAAGCTTCAAGCCGAAGCAGAGAGAATGTGCAAAGACCAGACTGCTAGACGATATATCCTTGGTTTTGAAAGCACCAAGGACCAGCGAAGGACTCGAGAGTGCGCTTTGGCGGAGGCAAGGCAGGCTCTCTCTCGGGAGTCACGTTGGCCCGGCCCTGCTGTCTTTTTTTTTGCTCCGTGGGAACCCAAGCGCTCCAAGCGCTCCACACTGTTTGAGTGACCAGAGTGGCCCGCGCCAGCCCAGGACGTTCGCGGCGTTGAGCTCGCATTGTCATAATCACGGAAGCCTGCACTGAACCGCGCCTGGCAACAAAAGGAGCCTTCCTGACTCTGCCTCGTCTGCCCTCCTACAAGGACGTGACATACATATATGCTGATCAGCAAGGAACGTTCCTGGGCAAGGCTGCTGTCCGGTAGGAGGACGTATCGGCTCACAGAAATGGATCATGACGATATGGGAATCAGGTCGGGAGAAACGGATCGGGAAGCGCACGAAAAGGATCATGAGGTGCCTGGTCGGAACACTGTATCGGCCCAGGTGTTGACTGCATGAAGTTCTCATACCTGCCGTGTGGGATCATGGTGTTAGGGTGTCTCAGTATCGACATGTAGATGACGAATGCAGGGGTATGCAGGGGTCTTGGATGACTCCTGGTGTACTTACGCCCTCCTTGGTCTTGGATGAATCCTGTTGTGCGTCACGCATGCCTTGGTCTTGGATGAGTTCTGTCGTCTGTACGGTTCCCCCAGTCTTGGCAGAATCCTGGTGTATGTCACGCCCTCCTTGGTCTTGGGCAAGTCCTGCTGCATGTCACGCCCCCCCTCATGCATGGATAAGTCCTGTTGTATGTTCCGCCGGTCTTGGATGACTCCTGGCGCATGTCAAACCCTGGGTGGTCTTGGATAAGTTCTGCTGTATGTCACGCCCCCTCAGTCTTGGATGAGTCCTGTTGTATGTCATGCCCCCCTCAGTCTTGGATGAGTCCTGTTATATGTCACGCCCCCCTCGGTCTTGGATGAGTTCTGGTGAATGTCACGAGGACCATGCTCGGCAGTGTGGTGGTAAGAAGCCGCAGCAGCCCAGCCAGGAAATGCAGCAGCAAAGCGGGAAGTATCGGCTGTGTGGCTTTGTATGAAGTGTAACACGTGAAGTGCCAGAAGTCTGAACACGATGCTTCCGAGCCGATTGGTCTTGGCTTGGTTCCTCTAGATCTTGTGTCTGCCCGAGGATCCGATTCGCTGAGCCGATTCCTTTCCCTGATTCGGACCCTGCGGCACCTGATACCTGCAGCTTCGGCTGCTGTGTTCACTTGTGCAGATGTGCGCTGCGGCTGCGTTGCCTAATGGCGGTTCTGCTGTCTGGTTTACCTTGACGGCGGGCCTTAGCAGGGGTGCCCCGGCCCCGTCCTAATACAGGGCTCCGCCTGCCTGAGCACTGTGGTGGGGGGCAGGACTGCTCCCTGCTGTGTCAGGAGCTGGGGCCCCCCAAATCTGTAACACCAAGAACTCCTGCAAGCTCCATAAAGTGCAGGAAGGCGAGCCCTGGGCGAACCTGCTCCAGACTCCGTGCTTCCATATCGCTTGACGTCAATGCGCTTGCCGTCAAGGACATGGCCCTGACAGCATCGGAAGAAATCCAGCATCTCCCATTGTAAGGCTCCGTAAACCCGAGGACAGATTCGGCAACTTTCCTTCGGATCCGCCAGGCAAGCTTCAGCCAACGCCCTCAGCTTTGTATTGGCCAGTGGCAGAGCTTTCACAGCCTTTGATGTAACGATGTGGCTGAGGTTCCAGCTCGTTTGCAAACGCCACGAAGCCAAACCCTTTGGAACGCTTTGTGTGCGTGTCCTGGCTTTGGCACGCTCATTCACGTTCGCTCGCCTGGGAAAAAGATCAACGAAACAACGTGTAGCGCATGCTTTTTGCCCGTTTAATGCCACACACAAACGCACAACACATTCCTTTCTTCTTGTGCTCTTTGTTCTATTTTAGTGATAGATAGAAATGCATGTAAGCACGTTTTTTACAGTAGAATACAGCACAGGCAGGCACCACACTTTCTAAAGTTTAGAATACTGGAAACTCACAATTTTTATAATCTACAACTTTTTGGCATTTCTTGACATCTTATGGTTGCTTATCTTTCTAGTCTTTTATATCTTGTCCGGAAGCTTTGGTGAATTTCAATGATGCAAAACACACGCATTACACTCATTACGTTCTTTTTCATGAATGTGTTTTTCTCTCTATCAAAACACACCATTCGCTCTCACCTTTACATTTGCTTCAAACTCACGGCGAGCCGGTCCATCTTCACGTCGGCCTCCATGACTTCGCCGAACCTGCCGCGAAACTGCTCGTTATCACACGGCCTACAGGCTGCACCTTGCGAGCTGCCCATGTAGCGTTGGGCTTTTTTGTTCAGACTTGGGCTGCCAGCTGCTTTCGAACGGGGCGGCTGTCTCCTCCACTTAGCGGATGCCCCCATGTGATAACGGCGCCGTCTGCCCGCACGGCTGCAAAGGCGCCGCTTGACGCGTGAATTTCCAGGATGTCGTAAAGCTGATCTTGTACCTCCACTCAGGCCACTGCCGCCGCACGGAGCAGCGACTTGACTGAAAAGTGTTGCGAGTGGCTTTGCTTGCTTTCTGATTTGGTTGCTTGTGCATGCAAGGATTCGAAGCCAGTGTCCTGTTTCTTGCGTTGTCTTGACCTACTTCCGAATCTCACATCATCTCACTTCGCCTTGTTTCGCTGATTATTTTGCGGGCTTCAGTCTCCCTTTCACTGCCTACTGTACCACTGAAGATTCACAGACAGGTTGGCACCAATCCTGCCAAATTTGGACGATTTCAGCCAAGCTGCTGCACTACTGTCACCGCCGTATGCGGGATGACCCCAAGTGGCGACTTTTCCTCTCGATGTGAGAGCAACGAAAGCGCCCAAAGAGGCATGAATGTTCTGGACGTCTCCTTAGACCATGCCATACTCATGTCATACAAGCAAGGCCATCACTGTAAGTCTAATATATGTGTGCCTGATCTGATCCAGGTTCATTCCGAGCATCTCAGCTGGCTCTGTGCTGCGTGGCTGAAGCCGCCGTATTCTGGATGACCCCAGGTTACAACTGTCCCATCGTCTCGGACTGCGGCAAAGGCCGTCTCCGCAGAGTGCACAGTGTGAACGTTGACAAGCTGCTTCTGAACCGATCGGCTGTCACCCCCATAGAGCGGATGACCCCACGTAACCTGGCAAGCATTAGGGAGGCAAGGACACACGCACACATACACACACCAGATAGCTAGCCATTCAACGCATGAAAGGACTCTGCATCCTCCCAGACAGTTTAACCAGAGAGAACGGTGCAACAAATGCAACAACGGTGGCAAGGATTCAGATCATATGGGGAGACAGGACACACTTTCCTTCTGAATGCTGCTTGATGAGTGCGCGTGTCAAACGAGCACATGCTAAATACGAGGCAGCGATGTCGATGTATACGGTTATGGAGCGCGATTCACTGATGTGTCACCAAGCAAAGAAGAGCCAAGAGCTGAAGCTCAGAAGATCCCCCTGTGCTTCGAGGGCGCGACGGTGCCGTTCGTGGTAAGGGCAGCGAATGCCTTGTTGGAGGAATAGATATGGCTTACAGCGCTTAAAGGGCCCGCATCCAGCTGTGCTTCCACTGGCCGGCAGTCGCCTCCGCTCAAGGCGTGGCCCCAAGTAATCACAGACCCGTTCGTCTTGATGGCCGCAAATGCACCACTGGAGCTGTGGATGGATTCCACATTCACGAGCTGCTCCTTGCTTTCAGCCAGACGTGAGCAACTACAAGTATAATCTATATGCTTAAGACTGCTCTTAATGGATCTGACATGCATTGCTGTCATTGCGATTACCATGGCCACGATGCCTCAAGACCGGCTACAGGTTGAGTGTCTCTTGTTGCGCTTCATGTCGAATGGAACTCAGGGGAAGGCCATCACTGAGGTCGGGAACACACATCGAAGTCTGCCGTAGCACACCACCGGCTCAGGCACTTTCCATGCCTGGACATAGCCTAGCCTGTCTTAGCTTTCCAGATCCAGGTGGGAGTCTAGCTGGGACTTAAAAGTCAGAACCAGCGGCATGTAAGGAACAGAGAAGCTGAAAAGGAGCTGACGACGACAGGCAGAAACAGTCAGTGATCAGGAAGGCAGACCTAGTAACTCCGAAGACATACGCGATTCTTGCGCGAATACAAAACGGCATTGTAATGTGCCAAAGGTTTGATACTTCAGAATCGAACGGAGCATCGCTTGCCCCAGAGATGCAGCTGGATTGATCGACTTGCACCATGTTAACTGTTAACCGGACTGCATTTGGAAGCCTCCAGCAACACAAAATCCTGCTCCGCACGAGCTGTAAATGCGCTCTCTCTGACTCGGTCCTTCACCGCCGAACTATCTCCTCCATATTCAGGATGTCCCCAAGACACTACCGTGCCGTTGTGACGCACAGCTGCAAAGGCCTTTCCAGAAGCAGCAATGTCTCGAACATGGAGAAGTTCATGCGAGATCGCTGTGCTTTCGCCGCCTTGCTCTTCATGCCCCCATGTCACCACAGACCGGTCCCCTCGCACTGCTGCGAATGCAGCCTCCGTAGAATAGATCTCTCTTACGTCCTCAAGCTGCCCTGCCAGCCGTTGGCTGTCCCCACCATGGGACGCATTTCCCCAGGTGACAACTCTTCCGTCACTCCTCAAGGCTGCAAAAGCCTGCATGGAGGCAAATACTTGCCTGACCATCTGGAGATCTTCTTGCACACCCGAATTATCACCACCATGATCGGCGTGGCCCCATGCGACAACAGAGCCATCTGTCTTCACAGCTGCCAGGGCCTTGTGTGTGGCATAGATCTCATGCACATTCAGCAGCTGATCGCGCACGGCATGGCTGTCACCGCCATGAAATCGATGCCCCCATGTCACAACTGAACCATCAGCACGAATAGCAGCGAAGGTGCTGGCCTTCCGATGAGACTGCAACTTCGGGCCCGCTTTTGCGATGGCGCCGATGACAGCTCCGTCTTGCAAGCCACTTTGGGCCACGCTGCTGATCGGATCTAGTTGCATGCCATCTGGTGACAGCAAGGCAATCAGAGTGCGACCCATCTTTGCCTGTGCCACCTGTCTCACTTCGCTTATGGTCATCTCGCCTGTGACTTCAAAGGACACGCACTGCCCACTTAGCAAAGCCACCGTCACAGCCAAAGCCATGGCTTCAAACTTTGTACACTGATGCTAACATGCTTGCAGGACATTGCCTTTTCATTTCCGGCTTTGTGCTACGACTGTTTATGGGTACAGATACGCAAATTCTGCTGTCCCAGCATCCCGGTGCGTCTTGCTGTACATGGCCGTGCGATCTGGGGCACCGTGGCAAACCCTAGGTCTCGGCAGTACAGCTGCGAACATGCATTTTCGCTCCATCGGCCAGGCCAAGTCAGCACTTTTGGGTTCGCTTGTGCCTCGAGAAGTAGCGCTCCAGGCTGGTGGGATCCGTCTGCCTTTCAGCTGCATGCGTTGCAATCTGCGAGGGTCTGACCGCTGAACAACCCCTGCTTCTATGCTGGTCCTAACGAAAAGGCGCGGGCTGGGATAAGCCGCCCACGAAGAGAACTTTCTGATTGCCAGCTCCCTGTGCGAAGTGAAGAACCCCGGGGAGTTCCGCAGCCCAAGTCCAAAGCTCGACGACTCGACTCGCTTCTACCAGCCCTTATCCGGCACCTCGGTGGCAGAGCCTCGAGACACTGTTGCATTCGCTGCGAAAACACACGAACTGGCCTTCTGTGCTGGGAGGCAAGCCTGGATCTGGCACAGGCTTGAAGAATTTAATGTCGGCCCAGGCGACAAATTCTTCGTCGTCGACCTGTTCCTTGCAACTCTCGTAATCTTGAATGCGGGACTCAAAGATGCTTTAAGTGTGGCTTGCAGACGTGGTGCCTGCACCAGCGCGTTGAAGCGCTCAAGGCCCTGATGGTGTCGCCAGGACTGCGACGACGCCGATGCGCGCAAATCGCTCTGCGACCGAGAGCCGGGCTCCCAGGAGTTGCTCTCGGGTGCCAGCCAGCACCGCAAGCTGGAACAGGGGCCCAAGTGTGTCGACGCATACTTCTTGAGGGGACAGACTGCTCTCTTGCCGATTCAAGGGCAGGCTCAGCATCTAAGAATTGCATGGTCGTGCTCAGCGCATGGTCGAGAAGTTCTGACCTGATGGTTCTCGTGGATCATGTCGTCCACATAAAGCCGAACGCCGCTCTCCTCCAGAAGTCGTCGATTCGATAAGTTCAACACAACGGCGTATTGGGCTACGGCCCTACTGCAGGTGCTGAACGGGCATTGGAGTCTGCGGTCGTGTCGCTAAACGGCAGAGACCGGCAAAGGAGAAGTGGAATCACAGCTGTCTGTGATTTATGACGGTCGCGACTGGTGAGGTAGCCCGTTCGTGGCATTTTCTGAATCTATCCAGAGATGGCATTTGCACCTATGTCGGCGTGCCGTGGACGATTGCCGTGTATGCGGAGCTACCAGTATCTGCTGCGTGGAGTAAGGCGGTGGGCTGAACTTCCCGGGCTGTAGCTACCCTTCGTAGTTTCAGAGAGTCGGATGCTTGTACAAGCGCGGAATCAAAGACGACAGCTACGCAGACACAGCATCTATGCACTGTGACGCAGTGCACGAGGCGATACCTACGCAGGCAACGTCGTCGGGCCTCCTGTAGCCTTGAGACAGCGCCATCGTGGCCTTGCAGGTCAGCGCTCTCTCAGCGCCGTCAGAGAGCGCTTGTCGGGGCTACTGACCCGCTCGTTAAGAGCGCTGAATGCTGAAGGGTACGGGTAGATGGAAGCTCGCTCCAAGATACTGGTATGTCACGGACGATCCTGCAGAGCCACAGTGACCATGAGCGCCCACATACATGATAATCAACCAAAGCTCTGGAAGCAACTACCCCTTCGCTTGGAACTGAGGCACCAGCCTCCTTCTGCCGCGAACGGGGTGAGAGCCACGCAGAGCCGCAAACTGGAGCAATTCTACTAGTGCAGATGTTTCGGCAGTTCTGTCTGAAGCCTGAAACGAAATCGATATCTCAACATACAGTAGCTGTTTGTCCGAGGGAAGCATCCAGACCGCGTCAGCGATGTCCGAAAAAGGCACCGGTCCCTGTTTCGGGTTGCTGGGGTCGTAGACTGCAAAGGCAAGAAGAGGATCCTTTTACGGCGATTTTACGGTGTACAGAGCTTGACAGGATTATCAAAGAAAGCTTGCCTGGCCTGTCACGGCGTTTGCAATACAAGCTTCAAGATATTGCAAGACGAGTTCTACATGTACTGCCTGCCGCACGGCATATCTGAGGACGTGACTCTCCGGTCGTATCGAGGAACTCGCCATCCTTCGTTCTCAGCTCTGGTCTCTCTAAAATTCATGTCCGTGGAGCACGAGATACTTTGGCATTCTACACATTGCCACGCAGAATCCTCTGATCCATAGGTGCCACTTGCCTCCATTTCCTGTCTCATTACGTCGCTTCTTTTGAACCGGCTCACACTAGCTGAGCACACCTTTGCTTCTTCGTCGGCACAGCTTATCACCTGCAGCAGTGATGGCATGGGCAGTAGGACGAAGTCGTCACGCACACATATGATGTAGTAAAAACGAACCAGAACCATTGCTGTCTTTCCCACCACAGTACAACGACGACGGGTATACCGCTGATGCGACAGATGCTACTGCGACTACTGCTATTGCCACTCGTACTGCCACTACCACTACCACTGTACTAGCACTAGCACTACTACTACGACTGCTACTATCACTACCGCTATCACTACTACTGCGACGACGACGACTGCGACGGTGGCGACGGCGGTCGTGTTCGTGTTGGTGTTAGTGTTGTTATTTTCTCTTGTTGTTGATGATGTTTTGTTTGTTTGCTTTTTGTTTTTCATGTTTTTGTTTTTTTCTGTGTCATTGCTGGTGTTGATGTTGTTGTTGTTGTTGCTGCTGTTGTTGCTGTTGTAACCAGTTGGAATGTAGTCGTAGTGCCGCCGCCGCCGCCACCGCCCCCACCCCCGCCCGCGCCACAAACAACAATTACCACCACCACCACCACCACCGCCAACAACAGCAGCAGCACCACCACCACTAACACCAACACCAGCACCACCAGCAACAACAACAACACCAACAAAACCAACACCCTCGACACCGACATCGACACCAACAGCACCAAAAGCAGCAACAACAACAACATTTCATTCACACGCAGCGGGAGGAGACTGTCTGAGGTGAAACTTATCATCCACGCTTTGCGAGGGATCGACCTGTTGCTCTGCTTGCTACTTGCGCGGTCACTCTTCATGACGAGCCGTGCCTTAGCACTGCACTCGCACACGCTCCGCCCCTCAAGGCAGCAAGCTATGAAGTGGGAAGCGGATGTGTCTTCAGAGACTCGAGCTGCAAACTTTGGCACTGTGAAGTAGTTTACCGGCTGAGTTGCAATGTATCGCAAGCTGAATGGCAGCGGTCCATTTTGACCTCTCTGCTGTCTCGTGAGTGTTTCTAGCCTCGCTGTGAAGGCTCAGTGCGAACCACTAGCTCTATGTTAAAAAAGAGGCGGTGAGGCAATGATACGCTCAGTAAAGGCATGCCAGGCGCCATCTCCGATGGCGGAGCGACTCCTGCCGGACCAGTGCTAGTGACATGGAGCTCTCCAGTCCCTGGATGGGAGATCGTAGAAGTCACAGCCTTTGGTGGTGGTCCCAGGGGAGGAGCTCCTCCCGGGATTCCACCTTTCACTGGCACTCCAGGTGCCTTCCCTGGGCCCGGTGTCCGATCCGTGCTAGATCCACTTCCTGACGGGTTAACAGGCACCGGCGGCGGCGGGCCCTTAGGCCCATCAGCCTTGGGGACTGCTGTGTCATCTGAGTCGGATTCCCGGATGGCATCACTAGATGGCGGCGACCTGGATAGGTGAGGACGACGTCTCACTGGAGGAGGAGTGCGGGAATTCGCTCTGCTGCCACTCTTCTTCGGTGTTTCAGGCATGGCTACTACAGTCAAGACAGCTGGTGAGTTGAGCCTGTTTGAGAGACAAGCATGTAGAGCTTTGTGTAATCTTTTGGCTGACAACTCACTTGCCAATCTGGGCCCGTGACTATGCACGGAGCTTCACATCCGACCTCAGGGTATTCTTGCTGACTGGTGGTGAATCTGAAGTAACCCTAAGCCTTGAGATGCGATTTTTGCGTGAGCAGCTGCATTATCTGTTTGGGGAGAAGCTCCACCATTTGGCGAGGCTCTCTTCAGGATCAGAGCGGCCTATTGTCGCCTCCGTACTTGGTGCCGGATTTCAGGCTCTGATAGTACTCTATGACTGAAGGGGGCACTTCAGTTGGGGTGAGAATAACGCCGTTCTTGCTACGGAAAAACTTCACCCCTACCTGCATGGCTCTGCGTGGATCGACCGCTACCAACATGGACGAGCTATCTCTGAAGCCAGAAACACCAGGTTTCCCATAGTCGCTGTCAGAGACGAAGTGGATATGCTGTCGTCCCTCCCTGCCACGTCCTCCTTTACCACGGCCCTTGGAGATCTTGTTCTGCGGCAGAAGGCCTCGTTGGCGAATTGAGTCATACAAGGACCAGAATGTGCCATGATAGAGCATTCTGGGGAGCATCTCCTCCGTGAGTTCCTCCAACACCTCGTTGGAATCTACGTCCGAACGAGAATGTCCTTGCAGCGCCCTGATGTACTTCTGGCCTTGGCAGTCGCCCAACTCGTACCTGCCTTTGGCGTTACTCCGAACGACCTCCATGAGGTCCCCTGCCGTGGCGTGCTGGGCCTGCACTCTTGGCCAGTTCAACACGTCCTCTAATTTGGCCCAGCCTGCCGAAGTAACGCTGATGTGAGGTTTATGTCCGTGCCGGAGCGAGGCTGCTAGAGCTTTGGATACTTCGAACGAAAAGCTGGTCTCCGGATTCGTAGAGGCAGTGCAATAATCCCCTAGATCACCTGGTTGACCCTCCCATGCCACTATAGAGGAGCTCCGTGGTGTTGTTGAGCTCTGATCAATCTCTACGATCGTGGTCGGGGGAGGAACTCCACCCTGTGAGCCTGACGCCTGCTCTGAAACTGGAAGGGGAGGAACTCCTCCTTCCTTTGCACCACTTGACGAGGCCGCTTCGCTTGGCAATTCATATCCCAAAGCTGAGAAGGAATCACGAGCTTGTCGAAGTGGAATCTCCAGCATTCCGCTCCACTCTCGGAGGTACTCACCTAAGGTGAGTGTCTCCTTTGTTGAAATTTGGAGCAGCAGCGCTCGGATTTTCACCGCGTCAAAGGAGTATATTAGTTGGTTTGTTTTCTTTCCACGTTTTTGCGATCCAGAGTGTGCAGCTTCCACCTCAATCATGGGCCGCACGAATATGTGGCGAGGTCCTATCCTCACCAGACAGCTATAACCGGCAGCGAGATGCCTGTTTGACATCTTGTGAAGATACACTCCTGGGCGTGCCTCGAAGCTTCGCGTGCCAGAGAGGTCCGGTGTCGAAGGTAGAAGTCTTCCTGTAGCCAGTATCCCATGCAAACATTCCAGGTGTGTGCCGTGGAACGCAACCTCGCTGTCCCCTGCAGGAAGAATGTTCGGTGAAGAATACTCAAATCTAAACCAACCCTTCTCCTCTGCTGTGGGATAGCCAAGCTTCGGCTGCAGGGGCTCATTGGCCAGACCCCGACGGGAGGCCAGGAAGGTCTCCAGGAGAGCATTGGCTATCTCCGGGGAGGGTCGTTCCGCCTGATTGAGACCATCTCGCAGTTGTTGAGTCACTGTCACCATGACTCGGTGATTATTCAGGTCAGTGATGTTTCCATCACAGTCTGTGATCAGACTGGGGAAAGGCGTGTACCCCGCTGCCTGAAGAACTTTTATTTGCAGCTTCCGTGGATTGATCCCCCGAGGGAGGATCTCCACTCTTAGCCTTTGCTGCAGGGGGAGTATCTCCACCCTCGCTTTGCCCAGTGCTTCTTTTTTTGGAAGGAGGAGGAGCGGGAGTGACTCCACCCTTTCCACTTCCCGACTCTTCCTGTACACCGGTGCCTTTCGAGGTACCCTTATGTGCAGGATAACTTTCGCCGTGGGCACGAGCAGAGCGCCTCCACTGACGCAAGAAATTTCGATACGTGACATGTGGAAGTTGTTCACGTATCCGTCGTTGGCAGAATTCCTCATACTCCGCTTGAAACGAGGGATCCTGTGTTGACTCAGGTCTTGACATGATGCTGACTCTTGAGAGAAAGCTGCGAGTTGTGGGCTAAAGCTGGCTTCTTAGCACACAACTAATGGATGGCCGACCAAGCTCCAGGCCGCCACGAGGAGGGACCTGCATCACGGGTGGTGAGTTGCTGTAGGCACAGATTTGCTCAGAGCGGGTGAAAGGACATTTTAGGCTGCTTCTCAGAGCTGTTAAAAACCCCTGGGGAGAGACTCCACCAGCTGTACACCCCTCATTGGGGGAGAAACTCCACCGAGACGAGGGGAGAAGCTCCTCCTATGGCTCTTCTACTATTTAAAAACCCCTGGGGAGTTACTCCTCCAGCTGTACACACCTAGCAAGGGAGAAACTCCTCTGTTTGTTAGAGGATCTCTTCCTTAGGGAGCATCTCCTCTTAGCTCATAGCTCAGGATGAGGCGTCCATGAGCCGATTGTAGGACACCTCCCACATCGCTGTGGCCAAGTTCAACTTGCGATCTTCAGCGAAAAACGTGGCCCTCAAAGTCTCCACCTCCTCCAGGTAACCTGTTCTGGAGTCGACAGGTAAAAACTTACTCACGTATGCCACAATGTGGGTCTCTCTCTCCAGAGTGTCCAGATCGTACCTGTGGAGAGAGATGCTTTCTGGGGCAACCAGTTCCCCAGAGGTGATGCGAGCGAGGGTGAGATATTCCAGTCCCTGCTCGGCCAGGACTCTTCGTCGTCGGTACCTTATCTGCCCCCACTCGTCGATGCCAGAGATGGAGTGAAGGTGTTTGATCACCTGTCGGACCCCACCTTCCGGGAGTAACTCCACGGCAAGGTTTAGGATCTCGTCCTTAGTGATGAGCCCGAGCCCCTTCACTCTCTCTCGCAGCTCTGTGAGCACCGCCCAGGGGAGTATCTCCACACCTTGGGACTTCTGGTGCAGATAATGCACTGCTGCTATCGTCGGTAGCAACATCATGGCCAGGTGAGTTGGCGTCTGATCATACATGTTGAACGGAAGGAAGTGCTCTGCCTAACTGGTTAGCTTCTGAGCCTGAAAGCTTTAGCCAAGGAGGAACATGTACAGCTCTGCAAGGAGTCCCAACATTAGACTGATGCTCCGCGGGAGGGCCTCCTCGCAATTCGTCGAAGATGCTCCAGGCTCCTCACGAGTATGCAAAGGCTAGGAGCAGAGTGGGAGCAGCTCCTCTTCTTCAAGATTTGCTTCTACTTAGCTCTTGGTTCCAGGCCAGCCCGCTCGTGGGGCAGATCCGAACAATGATCTAATCCTCAGGAAAAGATCAGGAGAGCAAATCGCGAATCTGACGAACCAGCGGCGAGGGCTGAGTTC